GGGGAGATGGCTCAGTAGAATAAGCGCTTGCCTGGCAAGCACAAGGGCCTGAGTTCAATTCCCCAGTTCCACAAAAAAAAAAAAAAATTGGTGAAGGTTAAAGTTCCATGGGGGTCGGGGAGATGGCTCAGTGGGATAAGCGCTTCTTCTCTGGCAAGCGCAAGGGTCTGAGTTCAATCCCTGGTTCCAAAAAAAATTAATAAAGTTCCTTGAGGGCAGGGTCTTTTCAGAGACTCCTGTCACAACTCATTACAACGGAAGAGTCCAGCTCTGATCACTTATCTGATTTGAATCTCTGCTGGTTGTGTTGCCTGGAACAAGGTGCTCGATGAACAAGACAAGGCAATTGGCTTCCTGAGGGCACTTTGGGAAGTACCTGAGACCAAATCTCTGAGCTCCTGGCACATGGCCCAAGCTTCCTTCTCTGGGGCCTGGGAGGGAGGTCTCTGCACCCCAATTCCTAGCAGCTACAGCACTGACACCTGAGCCCTGAAGTTCATCAGCTCAAAGGTCTGCAACATTCTGCCTTTCTTAGTGATTGTATGTGGTCAGGAGTTTCACCTCCCAAGTTCTGAGGAAACCATGCCCTTTGTCCATGTCCAAGCACACTCCAGCTCCAAGGGGGAAGGAGGGAGGAAGGGGAAGGGGGAAGGAGGGAGGGAGGGAGAGAGAGAGAGAGAGAGAGAGAGAGAGAGAGAGAGAGAGAGAGAGGGAGACTCTTAACACAGCCCTTTCCTCTTTCCTCTCTGTGGGCTGTTTCTCTTTGGCTCCCAACCTCCGGCTCAGGGTCCCATGAGTTGGATTCTGGAGCACAGGATCCCTGGCAGGCCCTGGAGACTGCGGGGCTCTGCTGGAGCTGGGCACCCCTGTGCCTGAATAAAGGCTAGGAACCCACGCAAGCAGGGGTGGCCTGGCATGAGGCAGATGAGTGCCTCTTTCCTTTCCAGGACATACCAAGTTGGTAGGGGGATATGAGAATGAAAGGTGACTTGAAATCTATACAGCAGGGCTGGCCAAATAGCTCAGCAGATTAAAGCACCTGCAAGCAGGGATAGGGGCCACGGGTTCAATCCCTGGGTCTGCTGAGACAGCAATTGAGACTGGGCATGGTGGTGCATGCTTGTAATCCCAGCTTTGGGGAGGCTGTAAACAGGCAGATCACTATGAGTCTAATGTAGTAGTGAGACCCTGAACACCCTGTAGACCCTTTCTTAAAATACAAAAAGAAAAAAAAAGAGAGAACAAAAAGAAAGAAAGAGGGCTGGTGAGATGGCTCAGTGGTCTAAAGCACCTACTTAGAACAAGCTTAGCAAAGCACAGGGACCGCGGTTCAATCCCCCAGCACCACATGCCAGCCAGCCCCGCCCCCTGGTGGGCTGAGCTGGCCACACACACACACACACACACACACACACAAAATAAATAAATTTTAAAAAAGAAAGAAAGAAAGAAATCTATACAACAAACTCACCTATGGGCACCTCTACTCCCCTGGCCACCCCCATCCCACTGGGCATTCACAGCCTGCACCTGTTTTCCCCCAGGGGCTGGGCAACACTTCCTTTCCACATGTTAGATTTCTGGAGTGTCCCAGGCATGGTGTCCGTCCCATCAGTCAGAGGTCACAGCCCCAGATCCAGGGTTCGTTCATGGGATTTCTCTACCTTTTGTTGCCAGATTCTGCTGAGGGTCAGAAACAGCTCGGAACTCACCAACAAATTCTGGTGTTCCAAAAATATGCTTGAATTCAACGCCATCTTCTATTTCATGAGCCAGGCCAAAGTCAATCAGCTTGATGTGTGGAATAGGAATATTCTTGTCTAACAACATGATGTTTTCTGGCTGGAGAACAAAACAAGAAAGGGAAAAGAAGATGATAATTCAAGTCCTGTTTTGTGTTTTCATTCTGGGGTTTGGGGTTCTTTTTTTGGGAGATAAACACAGCCCCACTCTCTTGTTTTTGTGTCCTCAGTCTTACTGGGTGTATTCCAAAACAGGAGAGGACAGAGGACAAGGCCTGGGCTTCACCAAACCTAATGTTCTGATAACAACTTTGCTTTTCTTTCTGTCTCCTTTAAGCCAGTCCCTCTGTTTCCCTGTATGTCAAATGGGGTTCACAGATGACTTGTAGCATTTCCTGTAAACAAAGCCACCTCCTCTGTACGCGCTGGGGCAGGAGCATCGTGGCTTACTGACCCAGAACTTCCTGGACACCTTGCTGCCCTGGACAGCAGCTTCCTGTTGACCACACTCCCTCTCCTAGCCCAGCTGCAGAGCCCACACTTCTTGCTGTGGTCCACTAACTTTGGCCCTCAGCCAGACTAGCAGGGCAGGTGTGCGCCTGATCTCCAGGGAAAATACCAGCCTACTAGGCTACTTCCAGCCCAGCCAACAGCTTCGGACCGGACAGTGCAGATTGGTGGGGAGTCCTTGTGCACCCCTGGTTCTGAGTGAGGCTGGAACTGGGTCTTGAGCTTTCTCCTCACAGCATACATACTAGGAAGGGGGAAGCTCCCGCTTCTTCACCCTCTTTCTTCTACTCCCCCCATAACCCCCCTAGATGCCACTCAGATTGGAATGGAGTGGAGGGGCACACACAAGGCATCCGGCACTCTGGGAGTCTGCTGAAGCAAGAGGATAAGCAACCTAGTCAGATCCTGTCTCAAAATAAAAAAACTTTAAAAAGGGCTGGGGATATAGCTCAGTGTGAAGGCCCTGGGTTCAGTCCCTAGGACCCTAAGAGCAAAATAAAAGCATGTTCTCCAAACACCGAGCTGCACAAACATGTGTGTATAAATACTCAGAGCAGCATATTCACTGTAGCTCCAACATGGAAAATGCCCAAGAGTGGATACACAAAATGCAGCATAACTGTATCACATACAATTTCACATATGAAATCTAGCTAACCGTAAAGAGGGATAAAGTAGCAACCCCTGCCACAGCACGGGTGAGCCTTGAAGCCACCGCTTAAGCGGAAGAAGTAAGACACAAAGGCCCACATATCATAAAATGTGCAGCAGAGACAAGTCCACCGCAGCAGAAAGGAGACTGGGAGTCACCTAGAATGAGGAGGAAGGCAATGGAGGGTGACTGTAATGGGTCTAGGACTTCTTTGGGGGGATTAAATGCTCTAAAGTGATACTATAAACAATGGTGGTATTGATTCTGTAACTTCGTAAGGTGTACCCAGATGGGTGAAGTAGATGGTATATAAGGATAGCTCAACAGCTGTTACCTAAATCATTAAGTGCTTAAGAACACAGGATGAGCCTATTGTTCAAAGCACAGAAGGGTTTCCCACCACGGGCCTGTGCTCCTCCACCTGCTCTACGTGCAAGACCTTGGGGTCCATCTCCACCAGGTGGGACCTCACAGAGACCCCCAGGGAAAATACCAGCCTACTAGGCTACTGCCCTGCCCAGGCTTCTGAGCCTATCTGGGTCCTTTTGCTCTGATGTGTCCTGCTCTCCTGCCTTGCAGCCTTTGCTATCTCTACCTAGCCCCCCACCCCAGTTATCCCCAGTGGGAGGGAGCATTCAAGTCTTAGTCTTGGCATCCTTGTTGCTGCTGTGCAGCTCCTGGCGGTGGCAAGCTGAGCAAGGATCAGAACTAGAGGACCCCTACCCCCCACCCCACCCCCACCCCAGTCTCTGTGACCTCCTGTCACAGCAGTTGGAAACTTTCACTCAAGGGAGCTGGCTGAGGCCCTCCACTGCATTTTTTCCACCTTCAACAAAAATAAACAACACATTTCCTTTTGCATTTTAAAACCTTGTTTATGTTTCTCCCCCTCTAGAGATTATCTCAACTTTATTTTGAAAATGTGTCAAAGTCCTTTCCCAAGACAAAACCTATTTTAGTCCCTGAAGAAAGGAGAGCAAGGGGGGGTGGGAGGGCAGGAGCCAGGATCCGGGCAGGTGGCCCCACTCTAGTATCCCCGGCCCAGGCCATCTGTGGCTGCTCAGGGACCCCCAAGTTCTGGCAGCCCCTGTAGTGTGCGGCCCTCCCTGGTACCCCTCACTTCCCTTGCAGTCAGCGTCTGCTCTATTCCTCCCATACCCCTCCATCTCTGGCCCCAACATGTGGCAAGCGGCTTTTCACAGCTTAGACACCGTCCCTGCCCTGTCCCCTCCCCAAACCTGGCAAAATCTTCTTCACATCTCTTGAAGACAGCACCCCCTCACCAGGCCTTTTCTGATCTCCCCCATTTCTGTCTGCCTCCTCCACCGGGTGGAGCTGGTCTTATTATTTACCTGTCCCTCTCCCATGGGTGGCAAGCTTCCGTGGGGTTTGCTTCTGTCCTCTCCCCAGGGCTTGGGGTGGGGCCAGTAAGCCACCACGTGCCCAATCAATGTTCCCTGCATAAAGACTGAGGTGTCACTTATTAAGCTCCCACGATAGTCAGGACCTCGCACTAACCGAGCGCTGATGTAGTGGACCACATTCCGCTCTCAGCTACTCTCAAGGTGGGTGTCATTGTTCCTCTTTCACAGAAAAAGCAACCAAGACTGTAACACTGGCTAGCGGGCACGGAGACCGCGACATTTATCAGGCAGGCGGCAAGGTTTGCACTGCTACTTGCCGGACTAAATGACCCCCTTCCCAGCTTCTTGGAGGCCTTGTAACGTTATCCTGGGAAGAAGTAGCCGTGATGCTTCAACAGACAACCTCACCGCAGAGTGTTCTTCTGGTGACATAGCCACACAGGTGTGTGGTCCCTGGGCCCACTTCTGGACCTAGGTGTCCTCATCTTAGAGCAGAGTCCTGTTGAGAGATGGCTCAAGCTAGGCCTGGGTAAAAAGAACATGGCCTGGAGAGGTGGGGGTCAGCCTGGCAGGTGGCCTTGGGACAGCAGGAAGGAAGGCTCCCACGGGCGGTCAGGAGCCGGTTCTTGTCTCACTCACTCATGGGGGCATTTGGACCAGATGCCCCTGCACACTCAGAGCCAGGAGCAGACAGAAGCCAGGGCCTCCCTGGCCATCAAATGATGTTTCTGCATCCTTCCCAGGCCTCTGAGGGGACAGATTCCAGGCTAGCAGGGATGTGGGCCTCTGCATCTGCAGATCCTTAGAATCTGCAGCTTTAGCAAAAGCTTCTTTCTTGTATTCCAACCTCTCCACAAATGGCCCAGTGGCACCTAGGGGGCAGGCTAGGGACTAGCATTTACCACACACTTATCAAGCCAAGCTCTACGCTACTGCACGACACACTCTTTGGGTGCTAACCACCATCCTGGGTGGTGGGCACTATCAGCATCCTCACGGCACAGATGAGGAAACTGAGGCCCAGAGAGCCACATGACTTGCCCAAGTTCCAACAGCTAAGAGTGGCAGAGTCAGGGGTTTTCCCTAGTAGTCAGGCCTCTCCCCTCCCCAGCATACCTCCTAGTCTGGTTAAATATCTTCAGGGGACTGGGGAGACAGCTCAGTGGCCTAAGTGCCTGCCTGGCAAGTGCAAGGTCATGAGTTTGGTCCCCAGTACAAAAAAAAAAGAAAGAAAGAAACAGTTTAAATATCTTCAGGGATTACACAGACCACAGCGAAAGCCCACATACTCTGCCTGAAATCCAAGGTACTCGCAACTCTACAGGAGCTCCCTGTGGTGCCTTCTCAGACTCACTCCACCACTCGCCTGGACCTGCTCTTCGCCCCTTCTTGGGATGTGATCATGCTTGGAAGGACCCCAAGATGCCGTCCTCATGCTGGCTGCTCACCTTGTCCTCACATGATCAAAAGGCTGGGCTGGGGACGTTTCACTGACCTGGTGCCCTACGTCTCTTCACCAGCACTTGCCAGCACCCCTAGCTGTAGGCTGCCTCTTGTCCATGGTGCCACTTTCCTAAGTGGGGGCCTTTTCCCTGGGGAAATTCAATTCAATTCAATTCTTCTCACTGTTGATGTTTTGGTACTAGGTATTGGATTTAGGACCTCATGTAGGGAGGGTAAGTGTTCTACTGCTGAGCTACATCCCCAATAGTATTTTATTTTGCATCACATTGCATTTTTTTTTTTCAAAGAGGAAAGGTTTATTTTGTTTTACTTTTCAGCTGATAGGCTGGCATGGCGGGGGTGGGGGGCATGGCAGAGGAAAACCAGCCCATGACCTGTCTGTAGGAAGTAAAGAGAGATCAACAGAGGAAGGATGCAGAGAGATTCTTCTAGGCCACACATTACATTTTAGAGATGGGGTCTTGCTAAGTTGCTCAGGCTGGCCTCAAACTTGAGATTCTTCTGTCTCAGCCTACTGAGTAGCTGGAATTACAGGTTCAACTCAGTTCTAAGGTTCCTGGCCTTGCCTATGGTGTCTTGCATGCTGCATGTTCCACTAATTTTGCAGAAATGAATGGAAAGAATCACAACCAGTGACCCCACGGAAGCCCTCCACCACCACTAGGAGCGCTAGAATGCATCCCTCCTCACAGAGCTGAGAGGACCGCTTGGGACTCACAGAGGCTCTGTAAGCCAGCAAAGGGTCCCCAGGGTCTGGCCTTTGCCTCCCCCACCCCAATCAGAACAGGACAAAACTTTAGTTCCAGTTCTCCCATACAAGGCTGTGAGCTTACACAGGCCACTTCCTGTCCCTGGGCCTCAGCCCCTCCACCTCCAAGGCAGACACTGAGTGCCACCTCAGGCCCCTCCAAGCTCTTGGCTCAGGGATTTCAAAGTGGGACAAACCTTCAAGCTTCCTGGGCAAACTTCTATTGCCCTGGCCCCACACTGGGATATGAGGAGGCTGGAAAGAAGAGGCTACAGCTGTCCTGGGTCTCCACACTCCCTTGAGCCTGTCCTACCCGGTTTCCTCAGCTCAGTTAAGTACTTCATCTACTCCCTGAGCTCAGC